CGACATTTGTGGTTTATCTACAAATACTGTATGCTGTGTCAAGTAGATTAATGTGTTTTACACTTTCATTACAATAAATTGACGTGATTAATAAAAATTAATTTATAAATATTATAAATTATTTATATAACGAGTGTATTAATAATTGTAGTAGTCAGAAACAAATCATAAAAAATCGAAATAGATAGCAAGTCGTTAATGAAATTAGCACAGTATACAAAGTCCTTAAGTTGTTAATTTTATGATAAATTAGTTTCATTTATTTTCATAACATATACGTGCATAATAACCTTTATCTGTTAAATATCCAAAGGTATAAAACATAAATCAAATTATAATAACGCTATGGTTTGAGCGGGGTGTTGTCGCGCCGCGCACGCGCTCTCTCGCCTGACACAGAGTTGAGCGCTGTCAAGTATCGGGTTACGACCATGTACGGTAGTGCCAGCTTAAGATCCTTGTAGGCACGTATTAAAACTTTAAGTATTTATAGATAGTAAATTACAAACTTTAATTTATAATAAGGTTCACGATCGAAGGAGTCTGGCAATTTATAAGCTGTTGCAATATTAAAAATGTTTTTGGTACAATAGAGTCTATTTAGTGTAGAGGCGGCGACGCTGGCAAATCCGCAGAATGTCTAAGATAAGTGTCGAAAGCAATTTCGAGATGTCAAATAAAACCAAATCCCTCTCTAGCTGACCAGTGCGACTTTGTCTCTCTCTCTAAAAGTAATACCTATTTTTTTTCCGTATTTGCAACATTTTGCTTTTATTGTCCTATTAGTCATAGGGTAAGTCTATAGCCTTCCTCGATAAATGGGCTTCTGGGAACAGTGGTTTTTGAGATTAGTGCGTTCAACCAACGAAACAAACAAACTCTTCAGCTTATAATATTAGTATAGAATATATTCCAATTCTTGAACCACATAAACTTATTATCGTATAACTAATTAAGTATACATTTCTCAAAATTGTAACTACAGCTAGCTTAATTAAATAGATTCGGTAAAGATACTAAGAAAATTTAAAATCATTGTACCATTACTGAAAGCTGTATCTACATTTTTTGAAAAAAAAAAGCTCGTTATAAACCCCTGCATACGTGGTCGGTACACATTGCCGCGCGTCTAAAACTGCCGAAAGTTTTAGACCCTTCATACACATCGCTGGACACTAATTTTGGCTTACTCAATTCAAAAAGGATGTAAGTCAGATACACATTATATTATGTAAAGTAAAAAATGTTGCAACTTTGAGTTAGACATTTCGTTATATATTATACATATATATTCTGTATGCTATTTATATTTTGTAATCGTTTACGTTATAGACTATATAACAAACTAAACCACTAGAGCTGAAAGGGCAGCCATACCTACATAGGAATTTTGAACCTGGAAATAGTACTAGTACTTTATAGAAAGTATGTCCGTACAATTCTTACAAAGGGATATTAATATCAAGTTGTCTTTAAAATCACGGAAAGCTTGTACCTACTATCCTGTAGACATATTCTATGAGTCACATAGCTGAAACGGAACCTATTTTTGTTCCTATTACAAGAAAAACAGAATAGGAGTCTATTAAGTCTAACTATAAAAACTTATCTTCTAAATATAAAAAATGCAAATTTCGTACAAAATCTATTGAAAATACAATTTAAACCAATTAATAAAACATGCAACAATAGATAGTTTAAAACTACAACAGCTGCGTTCACTGTAGCGTTATAATGTTGGATGCCCGATTAGCCCTATACCACAAATAATGACAACTGAACAAATACCAACATTAAAAAAGAAACCGAGAGGACACGTGCTTCTTTTTTTAAAATTTTCGTTAAAAATATAATGATTGTCGATAGCTTCAAACTGTGTCATTGCCGAAGTTCGTGAATAATAGATGCTCGGGGTATTTAGATTTTTTTAACTTGGAACACTGTTCGATTTCATTTGACTTTATATTGTAATATTACCCGTGTAATTCCTTTTTTTTAATTCTAATCGTATTAAAAACTTTAGTTAAATGTATATTAAAAAAGTCATGTCGACATCTTAGTTTGATCTATGATGATATACGTTTGAATTTATCATAAATAGTTATAGAATAAAATATCTCCGCTTTGCTGTAAGTTTTTTGAGACTAACGAAAACATTTTCTCAGACCCAGTGTCTAAGAAAATGCATCTAAACCGAATATTTTTGTGACTGTTTAGGTAAGTTGCAAAATCTAATTATAAATAAAATAAAAAAATCCTTTTACAATTCTAATAGGAACGTGTAGGCTCTTTAATCTTCTCGTGAACCCATCTGATTGGCCGCGCGCCTGTCACGAACAGAATTCGCGTTTAAATGCACCGCTGCTATTGGTTACCCTGGTGTACCCTGGCACTCGAAATTCAAAATGTTTTCGTTATAATGGAACAGTTTTTTGCTTATTGGTGCATTTGAATTTAATAATTGGTTTTCGATCTGCTTTAATGGTAGTTTGTATAACAACAATTTCTAATTTGACCTTTAATAAGAAACTGGTTTATTGGAACTGTCAACTTAAATTGGACGTGTCTGAAAATGAATTAGATAATTCATCAATACGGCTATTCTCATAAGAAAAAATAAGCATTAAGCATAAATAAGAAAGATCAATTAGTAAAATGAATACACAATGTACCACAAAACGTGAACTTCCGGGTTCGAGACTGATTTCAACAGTAACTATGAAATCTTAGTGATCAACAGTAACTAATAGTACCCTATATCTATTAACAAGCTACAAAACAAACTTCATGTTAAATTTCAAGTTCATAAATCTATCGAAAATTAAAATTGTAATTTTGTCATTAAACACTATCCAAATAACAGAGCGCTGACATTAACGATTAAAACAGATACAATCTTAAATCAAGGCATTTAAACTATGACTTTGGATTGGCATTTTATATTTAAATCAAGAGTTGATATCTGTAACAAAATTAATAACCCTAAATTAAGATATTTCACCATAAAGTATAATCTATGTTGAAACATTTTTTTTAGAATATGCGATTTTTTAATCTTTAAAAAACAAATCATTTCAAATTTAGAATGTCATAAAAATTTATAAATGTAACAATGGCGGGATCGTTAACAGTTGGTACCTACTACAAATACGTGTGTTTTATCGCTTGCCGGCGCAGCGTATATAGACGCATTATCTTCCATTAGCGGTACAAGGGATTAAATCAAACGTGTTATAGCTTCGCGTACCGAATTAACCTTTGCGTTTATACACAGTCGTAAGTTGAACTTATATTTGGAGCTTTATACTTGTAAGGTAAAATTCATTCTTTGGATAGGTTGAAATTTCATAGTTAACGAAAAATTCTTGTGAATAGATTATACGAGATTTAAAAACTAAGAGTTCTATTTGCTCTTTGTGCATATAAATCGGATAAATTCATTTCGTATTCGTTTTGACTCTAGTACTTTAGCGTGTTATTTTTTTTCTTTATAAAAACATATATTTTTAAGTAGATATGTGTTTTTAGGAATTCTAATAAGATTTGGTATTACAAATGTATTTAAAAATGTCATATTGACTTTCGTTTGCTAGCGATTGTGGTTCTAGGTTTAATTTATTTAGATTTAATTGTTTGTTGCATTACTTATTACATAGGAAAATTGATGGAAGACAGTAGACATCATACCTGATAAAATAACAATGAAGAGCACATCCGAGCACGTTTTTAAAGATTCATACACAGACTAGAAACATGTTTTACAAAATCTTTTTTAACTTCCTATCCGGTACTCTCATTCAAATATCTTATTGGGCAAAATCTAATTACAACCAATAATATTTAAAACAAAAAAAAATGTGAACACAAATTCAGTGGCGCTGTAAGCACGCCGGCAACAAAGCCATTCGTCTTCCATTCCAAAATTTGGATCACAAACAAAATACCTACGAAACTCTAGATACAATGTAATCGTTTGAGGGCCGCCGATTTCCCGGCCGGGAAAAATACATTTCTCTCGTTGCCATTGGCAACAAGAAAACAGATATAGAACCCAGGACGCGCCACCATCTATAACTATATAAGTGCTATGACACTCCGAAATGGGCATATATAGAATTTTATACTTGTGTGGGTTAGGTTTTTACGCATGCGTAGTTTTCGGTGAAAGTAGATAGATATTGGGGTTTTTAGGGCCTACGGGGTTGGGGTGCGGTAAGGGGTGGAGGGATGCCCTAATCTGTGTCCCTTTGAGGCGCCCGATTGGAATTTAGTAATCATATTAGATTTTAAATTACACGTGTTTGTAAGTTAAAAGGGTGGGGTGAGTTTGCAATTTATTTCCTATTAAATAGTTGTTTGTGACTTGTGGGGATGCGGCCTTGCAGATTATGTGTCCGACGAATATGGCTGCTATTATATACGATTGAAGGTAGAATCTTAAGAAGACCTCAAACTATTTTTAAGTGATGTTGTATTTGTAAACCTATTTAATTAATATGCTGGTTGATCCAACGTTCGCAATATTTATATGTAAGTAGTTCATCTGGTTGGGGAAATTTCTTAAACCTAAACATTAGTTACTTTCACTACTCGGCCATTATAGTATGCCATAGAAACGATTCTAGATTTAATAAGAAACAGATAAGACAACAGCAAAACACCACAGAAGCTTAAGCTTTGTGGAATCCGATTGGTATACATTAAACGTGATAAATGTGGCAACTTGGCTACTATTCTGCTCAGAGATTTTATATGTCCGATTTCCCCTATGTGATAGAAATTAAATATGTGTTGTCCAAAGTTAGATGCACCACGTCCGGTTCTTCTTTTTGTCCTCCAGGAACCAGTAATTATAACCAGAGCGGAAATCGCAGTGTAAAAAAAACCTAACTTTGTCATCCAGCATATAACGGCATCTACAGTTACTTTTTACCACCCTGAAGATATAAAAACTAATAAAGCACTGTCTGATCATCATTCTTATTCTTCCTCCCCACCAGGTTTCATCAATCAACCGAGTGTTAAGAAACTTAGCGTCACAGAAGGAGCAAGCGGCTTCAGCGCAGAACGACAGCGTTTACGAGAAACTGAGGATGTTCAACGGCCAGGCCGCTACTGGATGGTGGTACCCTGGCCTTCCTACTGCACCAGCAGCTCCCGCGATACCTGCACCCTTACCACCACAGCTCAATAGAACTCCCAATGCTGAGGAACATAAAAGGGGTAAGAATATATCACTACTCGCATATTTCAGGAAACTAGAACTGAATGTTAGATGACTTTTTTATTTGTGGCATTTGATTGCAAAACAGTAGAAATTCTTGCAGTATCTTGTATGTTCTTTATCAACTGGCGACATAGAAATAAATAGAAGATGGCTCCATTTGTACATTTGCCCCTACTTAAGATGCTAGCATGTATCATCAGTAAGATATAAATTTCCAGCAGACATAGGTATAACTGATGATGAATATTGTGACTTAATAAAGAAAACTATAAATACGGGTAAAGTTTTGGTATTTTGTGGTACGATCTTTTTTCTACCTTATTAAAATTTTAATTTTAATCGTCCAATAGGAATAATTTATAGTCTAAATACTTTTATCATAAGATCTACATAATCAACTCACATTAAGTTTGCGTGTTTGATTCTTTTCTTCGCTATTAACAGTCGAAATATCATATTAGATTAACTATAACCTTTCTGAATAAACCAGCAATTTGAGTATCTGAGACTACAGGGTTGTAGCAGACCATTCGACTTTAAACCATTGGAGCACCTAGTTTAGAACGCAATACTCCTTAAATGGAGTAAATGTGAGCACTTCTAAACGTGTCTCCATCCCTGATCTGTAGACATATCTATCTATCGACTGTTCGACATATGTATTCTATCACATGTGTGACGTCATGGTAGATGTTCTTTTCCTATTTCGCTTTGACGCCGTGTCGCGACTCTCGGAGTCTTACCTTTGAGAAAGATCGCTAGGGTTGTCACTCGTATGATCTTATTTATATTTTATCCGTCAATAAATTCGTGCACATTTACTACTGTTATATCAAACACTTTGTAGTAAGAGGGTATAAATTTCTTTATTCTTTTATTCCTGTATGAAATGCCTTTATATACGATTTAAGTATCTTCGTGTGAAGGTTTCTAGACAAAGTGTTTTAAATATATATATCCATCTAATGACAATAGGATATAAGGTACAAATAACTTAGTTTTACTATACTGTTTTTGATACGATCATAATTTAATGGCAGGCTTATTGACTAAAATATAATATTTACAAATTTGCTGTTACAATTTCCCTCTTGTCATGTTGTAATGGGAATTTGAGTGGATTGCATTAATCCGATTAAGGAAAGGAAAAGTGGAGTGTAGTGAGTTCTTATTAGCACATTTTTTACCTATCTACTAGGTTTTAGTTATCTATGGACAAACTAAACTTACACTTAATTGAAACGTTACCCAATGTAAGTAGTTTGAAGAAATAGTTTGTAAATAATCTATAATGAGTTATAACCTAAATTAACATACTACATAGTTAAAATGTTTTTCTCAAAGACTGCAGGTTTGATAGAATAATTTGGTAGTATTTGTTTTAAGTGTGTGTGTGTGTGTGTGTGTGTGTGTGGTAGTAGTTGTTTCAAGTGTAAATAGGTATATATATATTTTACCACATTCACACAACGCCATCTAGTCCCAAACTACAGAGATTGTAGAACTTACAGAGATTGTTCAATGGGTACTAGACAACTGAAATAAATACATATTAACTTTATTTGTAAATACATACTTATTATACATAGAAACACCCAAACCAAATCAAACATCAAATGTTAATGCACACAAATGTTTGACTCGAGCGTTAATCGAACCCGCGACGTTTGGAATAGCAATCCGTTACACACACCACTACGCCATCCGGGCTTATAATATAGGTGACTATAAAGTATTAAAAAATGTTAGATACCAATACTAGTTCAAACAAATACTAGTTTAAACAGCGACCAGCAAAATGGAGGGATAGGATTAATAGAAGAAATAAGATTTAGAACTTTTTTTTGCAAAACTTCACTACCAACTTTTCTCCTCCGAACTTCTTTGGGTCTGTTATGTACAACTTCCCCACACTATACATATAAGTATAAAAGCATCGTAATAAAGCGAACTTATGATTTCCCAAAACTTTTTTTCAAGTTCAATTGTGCTATTTATTACTATTCGTAGATATTACGGGACTCTAAATACACTTTTTCTAAATGGTTTAAATAACAAAATTATATAATGACGACACATTCTTTTTTTTTTTGAAAACAACTCGGCAATAGGAATATATCCTGTGTCGCTAAGTGATCATTATTTTAGAAGAAACCTTCCCCTTAAATAAAATCGATTATAATATTCCATTGCTATTGAAACGGGCTACTTGTTGGGTCATCACACTCACACTTATCACTAATTGTCTACTTATCGGATTATTAAAGAAGTAAATAAAGGAATGGATATCTGCTAATGAGGTGGATTTTCCAATATTAATATTAACTTGACCTCTCCGAGTAAACTAAATAATAAAATAAAATGAAACTTTATTCTGTAAAAGACACAGCATGCAATTTATGTTGAAAGGAAGAATACATTTTATATGATAACACATTTTTTGAGGCTTACAACTATTGACCGTACAACAGTAGGTACGTGCAACACTGCGCTATCTGTGGTCATGGACATGTATGACGTGGCGCTGACATGGTGATCACTATTACTTACACTATTATTACACTTAAATACACGTTGATAGTGAATGGTTAACAGACTCAAGTTCATTGGTTACTTTAGAGATATACCAAATCTCCATAGTTTACTGAGTCCACGTTTTGAAGTTTATTTTACGAACTTTGGCACGGTTATCACACTTCACAAGAAACTGTCAAAAAGAACATCAATTAATGGACAAAATATAGGTTAAAAAAAAATTAAAGTACGAAACACAGTTTATTGAAGCCAGTTTATTTTTCAAGCGATTTATATCGCTTTACTTCACCTTGATAACCATACATCACATTAAACCTTGTAATTGAGTGAGATTGTCAATTAACCATTTAAATAGCTTTTGTTGTTTATTTTTCATTGTGAAGTTACTAAAAACGCCTGTGGGTGGCTTCATATAGTATTTACTCCGGATCAACATAAACAACCTTAAATAAGATGGCCCTTTTCTTCCACTTCTTAACTTCATCATCATCATCCACAGCCTTCAACCTCTCCTTAGATAGGAGGTTTAGGCCTATTATACCACGCTGGCCAGACGGTTTGGTATAGGGGTTCTGTCATGTTTTCCTTCTCTTTGCAGTGATGTTGTTCTGCGTAGTTTGAATAGGATGAATAGGAGTGTTGACACTGCTTATTACTCCGAGTAAGATCGAACTTCTCGCGGCTAGCCAATAACAATAGACTGAGATTTTATCATAAAATACATTTACTCAATCAATAACACTTACATGAAGTCACGCTACAAGCACTAAAACACAACCGCAAATAAACTCGTGACATAAAAATCTGAACGAATCACTCTTTCCAATTCTTTCACATTCGTACTTAAACTACGTCACTTTAAGAACAGGTACAAAACAAGAATTTCATATTGAACAGTTGAGAAATACGTTGGTAACCCTGTACTCCCCCATTCCTCGCAAGGGTGGGAGGTATGGGGGCCGCGTTGTTACCGAGTTTCTTCCCAAACACCTCGCCACTCCGCTGTGGCGGCCCGACAGATTATATGCCTGCTTTTGTGTTTTATTCCGCATTGTAGCTATATATGTATACAGTTTGTGTATATACATGTATATCGTGTCGATATATTAAAGTAATCTTGTTTGTAGGAATTTTGCAGTCGTATATCTGAGGATTTTATAAGTATTCGTTTATACCATTTGATTTTGAAGTATGGAGAACTTTGCTTTGCAAAATAATTGAAGCCAAATTATTCCTGTATAGTTTATTTCTGTCTTTTGTCTAGTTGCTGTCTAGGTAAATGTATTTGTTCAAATTAGTGCCTTGCAGACATACTTAGATGGGTTCGAATATCTTATTCCTATCAATACAGCAACTCGTGTTAGGGTACAGATAAAGATAGTACAGATCAAATTTGTTTTAAGGCCAATTTTATAACCTGAAATTGCCCTGAATAAATACAAGTCACAACAATAAAAGCAATTTAAAAGCATTAAAAATAATTCTTAAAATACAATTTTAACATATGTACGGTAATCAAGACTCTCACACCAAGGCTTTCTTAACTACTATAGGCAGATGTTTTACATTTACATTTTAAATTCATTAATTAACATTGCAATAGCAGGCGTGTTTTCTATAGCTTTGAGGACTTTACTGACCGAAAAACCATCCACGCAGCCAACAGTAGACTCCTAAGCGCAATTAGATTTTTTATTTATTTATTTAAAACTACAACTATGACGTGGGAGTCTCTACAGATATATGTTATCTATAAGAAAACTAATGGAAAAGCATTAAACCACTCTGTAAACACTCTGTACAAATAACCGTTCATAAATGACAAAACACTCTCTATGAGCAACTATCCCAAACTACCCTATTCCCTTATAAAACTACCCACAAACCGTGTTCACTCATCTCACGTGATGCTAATAAACCCGCTCAAGTGTAAGGTCTCCTTTCAAAAATGACCTCAAGAGTACAGGTCACATGTGCAGATTAACCCCTTGACTCCACACGCCTTCAAGTGAAGAAACCCCGGATATATCGTAGGTGAATTACGGTAGGTTAAGTTACAACATGTTTATACTACGCGTGTATGAAAATGTAAAATAAAACGAGTTCAATAAAAGTATTTTGCTATGTCTATTCGAATTGAATTCGATAAAATGAAAACCATTCAAAGTTTTATTTAAATTTCGAATGTCGGCAAATAATTTGAATTTAGAAGCGTGCCATTTTAACCAAAGTATTACACGTAAATGTTTGAAATTACAGGTTTGATTAAAATTTGAACTTCAGCAAAATCATTTTAAGTTAGAAACTGTTTATTTTAGGCGAACAATCTATGCAAAATTTCTAAATTAAAGGTCACATTTAAATTTGGAACTTCATAAAGTTAGAAGCAATGCACTAACAGATGAGATGTCAAGGTTAAATGAAAACTTCGAAAGTCAGGAAATCTTCCAGTAAAATAAAA